CTGGACTGTGAGCACAATAAGAGTTTCCCGTCCTCACCTCCCGTGGGTGGGACGGAATGGCCAGATTGGAAGGCAGCTGGGTAGTTGGCGTCACCGGGTCAGTTAGGCTCTGGCTAACTAGTTAGGAAGGATGGAGTGCTCTGATGTATTTCAGACGCTTCCCTTTCCCCCTCCCCCTACCAAAGCCCATGGGGATTTTCCCCACTATTTACTGTGGGAACCTGCTCAAGCTCCTGGAGGGAAAGCTCACATATTGTGGGCGCCCCCCACTGTCGGGTTCCCCTGGAGTTCCTCACTCTCAGGGCTGTCTGCGTGGCGCCCCCAGCTGCCTGTCGGTCCCAGTCCAGGCTTCCTCCCCAGCACTGGTTCCTGCAGCAGCTGTGTCTGTGAGTGTCCGCTCTGGGAAGCTGCATTCCCTGTGTTTGCCCACCAGTCCCCTGATTCTGGGGGCAGCAATCTTCCCTGCATCCTCCATTCTTTAGTACATCTAAGAAAATTTGTTGGTTTTTCAATTGTTGCTCCTTGTAGGATGGAGTGGTGACCTCCAAGCTCCTTACATGTATAGCCAGAACCGGAAGTCAGTACACTGGAACTTAAGCCTGCTTTTTTGACTTCTTGCTGAAGTGTGTGAAGGCTTGTGGAGGCATTTATATTTTATTGTAAAATACTTTCAACATACCAACTCTTCGGCAGCTGTAGGCGCTCATGGTTTGAGAGTCCTTATGTAGAAATCAAGTCCACAGTGTTACTGCAGGTTTACCTTACTGTAACACTATTTTACTTAAGAAAGCTTTAATCTACAATTGTAGAATGAGCACAGAAAGCATTGGATTAGTTTGGAGAACCAGGAGAAGTTAAACTGGTGAATATTATTACAATTTAATTTGATTGTATAACCTCACCTTCAAAATACAGGTTCTCATCACATGTGGAGTCTCAGATCTGAACTCTGTTCCATACTTTTCATAAAAATTGAAATGATTACATTGCCTGGAAACCTGAACTGTTCAAGTTCTCTCCTGGGGCCTTTCATTTTGCTTGGTTTGCCTGGAAATGAGTTTAATCTTCGATATAAAAGAAGCCGTCAGTGTTTTCTGTCCTTGGGGAGTGAAATACAAAGGCAGCTTAGGAAACACTGGTCAGATGGAGATCTGCAGATGATCAGCTTCTCAAAAATATAGACATTTTACCGAATTTGCATACAGATTCATCTTTTAAGCCACCTGCAACCCACTAGACTGCAGGAGGACGCATGTAGTCGCTTTTCCGTAACCCCCCATCCCCGTGTCCTGCACTTGGGTTAATGGTGAAGGTGACTGGGACGCACCGTCTGCAGTTCTGGGAGAGGTGTTTGTGTTCTCACTGTACTTTGGCCACCCTCCTTACGAGTTCATCACACAACTTGTTTAACACGTTTACTTTTTAAACACTTGGAGAATTAACAGCTGACTGAGATGTTTGTTTTAACAGCTAAAGAGTGGGAGGTGATTTAGGCATGATTTAGGCACACACTATGGCGCAACAGGAAAACACCTGATTGTTCCATTTTTGGCTCAGCTTTTAGTTTCAGTTAAAACTGCTGATAGCAAGGCTCAACAGGTTTTGTGGCACAGCACTCTTAACATTGTCTGCATATGAGGGACTGGCTCACTCACAAGAATGACCGTGCCACAGCTACTGTACGTGAAACCCTCTATTTGGTTTCAGTGCTGGAACGTAGTAAAGGATCTCTTCTCAGAGTTTCTGTTATCAGCAAGGCCAGTGTGAATTCAGAAAGCTCTCAAAGTCCCGTATTTCTTTCAGCATGCAGTATTCTGTGTGAATATAGAAAGCTCAAACGTAAATCCCTGAGAGCAAGACAGCAAAATGCTCCTTTCCCTGTTATCTTCATCCAGTGCGTTAGGATGTGGGGTATGTTGGGTTCTTGAACTGTTTTCACTGAGTAGAAGGAGCAAGGAATTTTGTTAGATAATTAATTGTTCATTTGGTCAGGGGTCAAGAGACTGTAGCCAAAAGTAAACATAGTCAAAGACAGAGATTCAAAATCAGGGATGAATAGATTTTTTTCTATAAGGGCCAGATAGTATTGGCATACGATCTCTGTTATAACCATTTAACCCTGCTGTTGTGGTGTAAAAACAGTCATAGGCAATACCTAATTGAGCAGGTGTGGCTGTGTTTCAGTAAAACTTTATTTATAAAAACAGGTCATGGGCTAGATTGGCCCACGGCCCGTCATTTGGCCCCCCCTGTTCTGGGTTCTGGACTGCGCCCCTGGACCCTATGACTGTTCTCACAGGAGACGTAGCAGTCGTTTTCAGTTAACTGGACTCATACATACAACCTTCACTGTTCATAGCCAACTCTTCACTGCATTTGTATATAATAAACTTGTTGTCAGGGAAAAGGGCATTCTTTCCTCACTGGTTTCTTGGGGACTAATCTGAATAATGTTATTTACTGATCATATATCCCTGACTTCCTTCCCAAAATAATTTGAGGTAGCTTTTAATAAAAGGCATATATAGGTTTTAGCTATCGAAATAGAGACGTAAAATCAAAACCCACCTAAAAGAGATCTCAGAAAACAGCCTCTGAGTATTTGACACGCACCTGCTGAGTCAGGCGGTGGCTCAGCGGGTCTGGGACTGAGTGGTGCTGGGTGCCTCCCGAGTGGAAGTCCCCCAAGGTGGTCTTTTCCAGCATGATTTCCCATCTGAAAGGAAAATTTCCCGTGTTTCATATTAAGTGTCCTACCAAAGGAAGTACTAATATCCCTCACTTTTCTTCTGACTGGAGGGTAAGCCAGGAGCTGTGACACCAACGAGTCAGTGTATTGAGAGGGAAGAGAAAATTATGCTAATGAAAACTGGGGTGGGCACACGCCCTGTTCAGAACAGGCTCCAGGCTCCCAGAGCCGAAGGACTCTTTCTGGTCAGTTTGAGGTGCACCTCTGCTCACTGGCGAGAGGAGAGTTAAATTAAATTCCATCAGAGTTAGATGGTGGGAAGCACACCTCAGAGGCGGACAGAGGAGGGGGAATTTCAGCTGAGCATCAGGCCGGGACGCCTTGGGCCGTGGTCAGAATGTGGGAACAGAGCCGAGGGATCTGAGAGACTGCCAGCTGGGATGGTGGCTCCAGAGGCAGTCCTGAAATAGGGAAACTGGTCTGTGGGAGAACTGTGTATGGGTACACGTGGCCCTAATACAAGGTTCCCATGAACACCACTTGGCCAAGCAGCTGCAGAAGATCATGTAGAACGCGGTCAGGGGCTCTGCTTAGGCCTCTGGCCGTAGGGAAGTGGGATGGACATGCTCACACAGACATCTAAAGTTTAAAGGAAGGAAGCACTGCCATAGGAAACGTGGGCAACAGGCAAGGATTCACTCACAGATGATGAGCAAAGGTGCTCAGTCGCCTGGTAGGTGGGATGGCAGCATCACGGCAGGACCAGAAGCAGGAAGGGGGTGGCGCTGAGGACAGACAAGGCCGCGCGCACGAGCAGGGGTGAGGACGTGGCAGTCAGCTGACTCTATGATGTACAAGAAGCCAACTCTACAGTGGGAACCTGGGACGATATCTGATACCTGTTTTAAAAATGTTTTTTCTACTCTGTAAATGTAGAAATGTTCTTACCTTTAAATGGAAAAGAGAGATAAAGAGTTTCCAACTTAAGCCACAGTCCCTTCTCTTAGTCTCTATTGGTGAGGGGCAGTAGGGTGGTGTTGGTACCGTGTTTGCAGGACGGGCATGGGGCAGCATCTGTCAGGGTGACTCATGCCTAGTATTTCAGTCAGCAGCTGCGCTTCCACAATTAAAAAAATACACACTCTCAAGCTGACAGGTGTTCGTGCAAAGATGATCATTATTGAAATGAATTGCAGAAAAAAGTTCAGATTTCAGAAGTTTTTGGATTTTAGAACTCCGTATAAGAGATTGTGGATCTGCATATACAAGTACCTAAGTTCAGCAAGGATAAAACATGAAGTCGTAAAAGTAAATTTTTACTTTTAATAAAAAATACATTTTACTTTTCAAAAATAAAATAATATTTTTCACTTTAAAAAATAAAATAAATTCCACAGTGTATATGGAACGATCCCCTTTCTTTGGGAGTAACAGTGGTAGGTTGTATGTGAAGATACATGCATAGAAGGTCTAGAACACAAAACTGTTCATGCAGTTACAGCAAGTGGACAGATGGTATGTTTCTCGAGAAAACAAGCGGCTTGTCACAGTCCACAGTGGGGAGGGGACCCACACTTCTTCATTGCCGCAGATCTGGAGGCGAGGGAGGTGGAGAGGAGACTCCGGTAGTGCCTGAGTCCAGCTTGAGAAGAACATATCGTTAGAAGTGAAAATAGGATTCTCTGTGAAGCTTACGTGCCAGTATCAGAGATCCTTAGAGTCACATGCCTGTCTAACCCAGGCATATTCATTTATTCATTAATTTAGAAGTATTTGTTGAGTGCCCACTGGGTGGGAGGCACCGCTCACGGCCCCTGGGCTGTGTGGTCCAGCTCCCAGCAGACGGACCCACGCGCGCCCAGGAAGCCTGGAGGAGGCCCGCCGGCTGAGCGGATGCGCCCCAGTGCCCGGCTCAGAGTACCAGAGGGACTGCCCTTGGTTCTACAAGGATCAAGTGTCCTAAATGTGTCTGAGTGTTCTTTCCTTTCCCAGTTTCTTCCTCATTTGAGTCTGAGCTATGTGTACAAACAGAAAGTTTTATGATGATTAGTGTTTTAATTATGAAGCCTTGCAGCAGGAGGTTGCCTGGCTGCTCTGGGACGACGACCCATGTAGCCATCAGGGGCTTCGGTTTCTGCGTCGTGTGTCCAGAGGGGCCCTGCCGTCCCCCACCACGCACAGGAGGGGTCTCTGACAAACAGTACCTTGATGCAGGTAGAGACACAGAAAGGTGGAGGTATGCAGACAGATGCATGTGCACGTGTGTATTTTTTGCCCCCATCAACCCAAATGTTTGTGTTTTCTTCCACAGAAAAAGCAGAGGACCAAAGATCTTTCTCGAGTGTTTCATTCTTACAGTCCGTATGCTGACAAGGTAAGAGAAACATTCATTAGCACATTGCGTAGAACCTTCTCTGAGCTCACAGCAGGGTTTCCACCGTTATCACGACCTCGAAGTACACTTACCAATCACGTTTATATTTCCATTTTTTCAATCTATGTCTTTTAAAGACAATCGAAAATTTGCATTTCTGACCTGAAATAATTATATTCACATTAAAGTCCCTTTGAAATCTAGTTCCAGGTTGTCACTGAAATCTCAAAAAGTGTGGAAAGGCAGATTTGGGGATGTTTTTGTTTGTCCGGTGTTTTCTTTCCAAACACTGTTGTGAGGGATTTGGCTTTTAAGTTGATAAAGATAGTTGGAATATTAACTGCCAAGGCTTGTTTCTCCACTGCTCCTGAGAGAGGTATTTTTCTAGATAAAAACTCTCATACAAAACAATACACATCGTCTTCTGTGAGATACCCACTGCCTGGGGTTCTGTCCACAGGAGACCAAGCAGTGTAACAACTGACATGTCCAGTCCCACAACTGTACAGACCCGTGGTCAGTCTTGTTAAGTTTACACCCAAACTCTCCACGCCCCATATTTGAAGAATTCCCAGACATTTTTTCACTTGTAGGTATTTTACCGTATATTTGTAAAAGATAAGGACCCTTAAAAAAGAAAAAACCTGCTCGTAACTGTTTTTAAAGAAACCAGTCAACACCACATCTTCACAGGAAAATTTATTACAAGATTTCTGAGGCTTGTGCAAAACTTCTCTGTCATGTAAGGTTCCCATCAACCTGTTAATTCAAGGTGATTTCAGAAGCAAACAACGTTTTGCACAGTTGAAATGCCAATATAAACTTAAATCTTTATCTGTGAATTTACAAGGAGACATGTGGTGGGGATTTTTTAACTAGCCAAAGTAAGTAGCGTGAAAACTACTTTCCTCGGTTGAAAATACAGAGATGTCTGGATCCAGGAGGGAGAAACTGTGCCAGTTGTTCATAGAAGTTGAAAGAGTTTGAATAGCTTTTAGTGTTTCTGTAGAAACCAACTGACTGTTTATGCCCCATGTGACCACGGCAATATGCAGTATTAAAAATGACACCATTGCAAGTTACATTTTTTCCAGGTTAAATCAGTCCCTTTGCAGAATACAGCAACTGGTTTGAAGGAGGTTGAGAGAGCCAGGAGTGTCCTGACAATGCACATGGAAGGTGCAGACTGAAAGTACAACAAGAAGGGGAATGAGATTGGACAGATTTCTGAATGGGAGATTTGCATATTTTTTAGGAGGAAGCCATTTGATTAACATAAATGCAACAGTGGCTGGTATTAACTGTTAACAAGAAAAGGCTGTGACAAATCAAAGTTTTTTTTGCCTGACTTGTCTAAATTTTGCCCACTTCTAACAGTTTTTAATTCACGGTTAAGGGAAATTCCATTATTCTTTTATTAGAACTCTTAATGGAACGTAGCCATTTGCAGCTTCTCCCGGCTTCCTCTTCATATCCTTTGTGGCGCTGTATCAAAGTCACCTCAGATTATTTTGGCTTCCCTTGTGAAGACTTCATTCCTCTACAAATTAGTCAGCAGGCGGTGAGGAATTGAATATAAACGCTAGCTGGAGTTCCTTTTGATCTTTGCTTCAAGATCGGTAATAAATTATTGTGAGTAGCTAGACTGCTTGATGAGTGATTTTTGAAGGCTCCCGAGGTTGGGGCCGCTGGCTTGGGTTTCACTCTGAACGTGCAGTGCAGGAAGGAAAAGCCTCCTAGGCAGCTGCTGCTCCTTGTAGCCCTCTCCCATTTTTCCAAGGTCCATCCAGGCAAGTCTCACCCTGTTACTTCTTTTTTTAGGATATGATTGGTTCTTTAATCACTTTTGCATGTAGTTGACCCTGTTGCTTTTGACCTTGTCTCTCAGGGACCCATGTCCGCAGACACCAGCATCACAGGGACTGAGTAATGTGCATTGTTTTCTCGATCTTAGGATGTTCCTTTTTAACCCGTATATAAAATAAGAGAGGTTTGTGATTCAAGTTACCCCGTCACTTTAATGACCCAGTTATATTCAACAGATTCATTTCCTAGGCAGATTTGTTTTGGTGTAAAATGTTTTACAAATTGTGGTTAAAGTTGGTTTAAACATCTCATACTGAGAGTTCTGAGTGACCTTTAGGTTAAATATATACATATATGGTCGTGAATGCTGATATAAAATAAAACATTGACTGGAATTTGCTTTAAAAAAGAATTCCCGGAGGGGAGTGGGTCAAGGTAGTAAAATCAGGTCGGCCGTGTGTTGAGGATCATTGGAACTGAGTGATGGGTGTGTGGGAGTTGATCATTCTAGTCTGTATATTTCTTTTATATGATTGAAGTTTTCCATAATAAAAAGAGGCAGAAAGTAAAATAAGCTATGGTCTGTTCCTGGGAGTGAATATTGTGGTATTCTTTTCCTCTCTAGCTAGGTGCCTTTTATTGTTAATGTTTCTCTTGATGTAAATTTTTACCAGAGAAGAACTTCTCCACATTTCAGTGGATTCGTTATGCTGAGTAAACTCAGAAATGCAACTCCTGTTCTAAAGTTGGCATAATTTCCTGGGGCGTCATCCCAAATTATAGTGGGTCACTGAAATGATAGCCTTGCCTAGTAGGAACTGTTGTAGCAGTTGTAATTACAAAGGGTAGTTAGTACAACCGTTTGGTTCCCACTGACTCAGTAATATTTGCTCTTCTTTCCTCCCCCCAACCAAGATTGCTCCTGCCTGACCCCAGACACAGGAAAGTCACTCGGTTAAGCAAACGTGTTGTTTGAGTGAAACCAGGTGCATTTCTTAATCATACTCTGAAGCCATTGTTTAGATTGTAAATGGTCAGTTGGTTTTCTCTTAAATGCTGTTGCAAAAAGCAAATAAAGCTTAGAGCAAAATGTGCACTCGAATGAGTCTTAAGGAAAATACCTGATCCATTCTTTATAATCTAAGACAAATTTTGCTGGAGACTGAAAGAATTTCATTTTGGACAGTTATCTCTTGTTCCATGTCCATTTTTTTAAAATTTGTTTTCAGGAATTCTTAGGATATAGGCTTGTACAGAAGGGCTTGACCACAGTTAATTCCCATTTATCTATCCTAATAAAAGGGAACATTGGTAAAGAGAATCCAGAGCAGCAGGTTGTCTGATTTTCTTTGGGTATTATATTGTTTCCTCGGTTCTTTTAATAAATGCATAGTAAACATAGCTTGTAATTCATAGAAACACATCATGCTAAGTACAGGAAAGGTTGTAGGGCCACAGGCTTTCCAAGCCCGGAGAGCCGACCTGGAGGAGTTTCCCTTCGGATAAGTCGTGGCTGAGCGGGGCAGGCTGTGATCAGAGTACTTTCCTTAAAGCTATGCAGATCGGCACATGCTTTCTGTCTTTGGCCTGAAGAAGATGCTGCCATGCATATAAAAGATATCACTCTTTCTTATTTCCTTCCTTCCTTCTTTATTGTTAGATTTTTATCAGAATTATGTTTCAGAAAAAAAATCTCAGCTTATGAGCTAAATGCAGATGTTTATAAATCTAATATAAAAGCTACTATAAAATATGAAAATGCCTGGAAAGAAAAAGTTACAAAATTCTGTTTAGGTCTTTAGTGCTTTTCAACACCTGTAAATTTGGATAAGGTGCTAAACACAGTTAATTTTGTAGGAATTAATATAGATTTGGCCATTCAAAGTGAGTCGTTAATAGACTGTCACTGTTATAGTTTCTCACAAAATACACTGTTATAGTATTTTGTGAAGTGGGTGTCTCATTTTCTTTAAGTGACTATTGTTATTTTAATAATTTTCTACATTTTGTAGACCTACATCAGTAGACACACATGAGAAGAAACGTTATTATATAACTCCTGTGTAGGTGAAGACGCTTTATCTTTTGATGACTCAGTGTTATTCTAGTAATTTCTATATATGTAGCCATATATCCATTGAGCTGTAAATTCACGTGTCCAAAAAACAGGTATGTACGAATGCTCTTGGCTAATTAGATAGAAAGTGGCCAGGAGCGCTTTACTCGGCCCTTGGCCTTCATGCCAGTCCCAGTGGACCCGCCACACAGACCTGCGTGTAAGCCAGCCTGGGCCCAGACTGTCAGAATCACAATTTAATTATCCCTCCGCACCTCATTACTTCTTCGATCCCCCATCCACAAACAGCCCACTTTTTTTTAAATAGTTTTAGCAAACACAGCAGCCTGGTTTCCCAAACCACAGTCAACCCCAGCAGCAGTTAGAGAGTGGTTATTGCTTCAAGAAGTTGGGGCACCGTCACGACGTGGCAGCATGCTGAATGGGGGCAAGAACAGGGCATAAAACTCTAAATCATTAACAGCGGGACTCTAAACGTGCAGCTGCCCAGGGCCACTTGATTTGGACACAAATACCAAATACTGCCGTGCATTTGGCTGTCCCGTGGTAAAATAATTGGGTCTCAATTACATCGAAGAACAGATGTTTTGTTTTAATATAGTATAAGATGTATATAGCCTATTTTTAGAAACACTGAAATTTCAAGGATAAATTTTATTTATCCTTGAAATTTCTCTTAGGAACAACTGTTGCTTAATACGGTTAGGTAAATGAGTTATTACATAGAGAGGGATTTAATAAAATAGAAATAGTGCAAGCATGTTTGAGCATGTGTTGGTACTTGGGTAAGGGAGAAAAATAAGCATATGACAATGAAAGATGAGGGTAGAATATTCCCCAGATTATTTGTTTATGTAATTATATATAACTATAAAAATATTAAAGTCTGAGAAGTATAAGGTATTTTATATTAAGTTAGGTTACTTTAGGTATAACTCGATGGAGTAATTTTAAGTGATATGTCAGTACAATACATTTTCAATTGCAGTATGAAATACACAAGAAATGTTGGTATGTATTCCCATGACCCACACTTCCTAAGGCTGCCTTAAGGATTGTTAATACAAACACATCTGGAAATTCATATCTACCAGTGTACAGTGAAATATTATATAAT